GCCGGCTACTGAGTCCTGGATTTCACTGCTAGTCATTATCCATCTTTGTTTATAATTCTTGTGAATTAAAGCAAAATCGAGGTAATACGCACAGTATGCACATATGCCAATAAGAGACTGATCAATTGCAGTCCTAAACATCAATGAGAATATTCAAGTTAACCATACCAAGTGAATTTAATCTTTTTCACTATAAAATCAGTATGAAATAACATACTAATATAAAAATTTGATTTTATTTCGTAATATTTACCTTTATGATTTCAACCTAATTAGCTAAATAGCATATTTATTGAAAATATTAACCTGAAACAATAATTATGAGTTGAAAATTGTAAGGATTATTGTCATTTAATGTATAATTTGATTTAAAAAACCCGCGAAATATTACTGAAGTAATATTTGACTGATAGGATTTAACATAAACATACAGCACGAATCTATCTAGCTGAAATAAACAAACGAACAAACACATTAAAATCAAAGCAGCATAAACTTCTAAATTATTCAAATAGAAGATAACGAAATAAATTATTATACCTTTTGAGATTCTAGGTGATGACAGCACTAAAAAGTTGATAGAATGTAAATTAGACAATAACATTTCTCACTGAATTACCTGTATAGGATTTCAAGTACAATAGCTATATAATGCTGGTAATAATAATTTTGATATAAAATAAAACAAATGATGAATTAAATAATCAAAGTTCATTATTTTTGTACTTGTTCAGTAATCTAAAGAAAATGCTCAAATCATTTATCTATCTGATTTACAAAAATGTCAACGATCTTACATTAAAAGCTAAAACAAATAAAAGATACTTTCAGTATAGGGTTATGGAGATTGGTTGGAGTTATATATTAATCACATTGGATCCGAGCTTAGTGGTCAGGAGGTTAAGCGTTCACGTGAAACCGGTGGTCCTGGATTTGAATCCTGCGTCCGGGACCATGGATGCGTACTGCCAATGTGACCAATACTAGGACGAAACGGCCGTCTAATGCTTCTAAGTTTTCAATAGTGATTTGAGATCGATCGATTCATGATCGCAATTAAAATAAATTTTAGCTGGTAAAAACTTTATTATTAATATTTATGACAGTAACATTAATTTAACAATCTCTAAAGATATTTACACTCAAAATTGACATTTATTTATGCTCAATAGCTTTGTGGTGTGGGTTACGTATATCCACATAATTAGTATATAACGATGGTCAGGCATAGATTGTATTTCAGTAGAAGATCGATAAGGAAAGAACGGGAACGGAACGCAATTAGTATGAAAATGCAGGAACGATGAAATCTGAGACAATGGACTGATATTTGCAGAAAGAACAGTCAAGTTTGAGACTTGGATTGATAATTTGCACATTAAATAATTACTATATGGCTCTCAGATTTTGGTGAGACGGTTTGTAATTTCGTTTCAAATACATTCGGTTGTCCTCACTCGTGTTCTTGTTCACTACAGGCTATTTGTAATTTAAATATTCGTTCAACTAAGTTAATTAAACTTCCAAGTTAGCTAGATGTATTCACAGCTTCATCATATTATTTAAAAACTGGAAACAGTAGATATCGGTAAACTAACTTATCTGTATAGTAGTTATAATAATAAACAAAACAGAAATTAAGGTCAAATTCACTTGGTGTTGTTTCACTTGTATCTTCCGACTGTTATTCAAGACTGCAAATGATCAGTCTCATTTTGGTACATGTGCATCCTGTGCGGATTGCCTCGATATAGCCTTAAGTCAAAAGCTTTTTTATGTGAAGATGGATAGTGGCTAGCAGTGGAATTCAGGACGCGCGTTTCGTCCTGTTTGGGACTCGTCAGCTGGATGTACCTGCATCCCAGAATTCCGGAGCGAACATATCACGCGTCCTGATAACCGATATTAGATAGCTCCCAACGATGCATGAATTTCAGAAAACAATACGAAACGTTGAATACAGTTTGTTGTTGCACAGCACAGATCACAAAGCCACAAGACCTCAAAGCTGATACCAACAAAAATTCGAATACGAATGAATAGAAGCGTACGAATTCTAGCAAATACCTGTGAACGGATGAATGGAGTTTATCAAGCACATATAAATGGCAAAGCAAATCGATTATAAAATGACTTAAGAGACTAACATTTAAGCTAGTAAGAGGGATACATGTGTAGGCTGTTACACGTGACCAAGCATACATATTCGTAAAACAAGATTATAAAGATACGAAGATATTGACAAATTATTATTCAAATGACAAAATCTGTTAAAAAAAAGTCAATTGAAAGGCAAAATTAAACGTATACGGACCCAAATGTAGGCGAGGGACTATAATTCTTGTTTAAATCATCAGTTCCGTTTAAATGAGATTATACAATTTTTGAACCAGTTGGCTAAGCTTCAAATGTACTCTTCGTCTGCAGACGAATAACATTCATTAGTAATAACTTTTGTATTTATTGTAAAATTCATATTGTTAGCTCAATTATTGGATTCTTATGTCATTATTATTCGAATAGAATTATTTTGTCTCGGAAAAATACTTTTCTACTACAAATAATTTAAATACATAATTATCTAATGTGTAAACGATATATTCCAGTGACATGCATATTATGTAATTTTTAGTGGCCCGGGATCTGACTTCAGTTAGATCATATGTTGATCGCTAATGTATGATTAACATCGACATATACACATGTCACCTATCCTCGTAAATAATTATCTATTTAACTCACGTTGGTGAATGACGGAATTAAATAAATCAAGAGAATGGATTTTTGGATACCTATATTTTGTACACTCATTGATCTGGACAAGAAATGAGAGGGATGAAGAGAATGGAAGGGAGTGAAGCGAAATGACGAGCGGTGGAGAAGGCATGTGAGCCAAATCCCTTTAATCAAGCGTTAATCAATATTTATAGTCACACAAAAATAAGCTACAAACATGTGATGAGTAGGATGAGAAGTGTACACACCTACGCTCATATAAAAACAGTCAGGGTTGGTATGTGAATAATTAACACTGTCAAAACGCGACTCATGAAGAATGAATAGATTGGCCTGTCCAAAAGCTAGAATAAGTTATATGGGCTTAACCGACACTAAAAATTATCCATTTTTAGAAAATTTGTTCAAGTGGGTAATTGCATTGAAATCTGGTTGTTTTAAAATAAAACGAAATTATAATCCTAAAAAGTTATGTTTCACCTACGAATATCGGACTCATCCGCTCGGAAAAATATTGATTTTTGTCGATCCATTTGAGCCATGACGGTTTAAGTCAAATAAAATTTGTAGTTCTATTTAGCTGGCTGTTATAATTCATGTTTCAACGTTTAGCGATTTCATACTTTTTTCAATCTGTTTGCAGAAAGATTTCTAAAAAAGAATGTAGATTAATACGATTTTCAGTAATGAGTTCATCCTACCGAATATTTTTAGAGTCTTGTGCAGTTACTAGAAATGTATTTTTTAATAAGATATTACATTTTTTCATGAGCGTTTTGCACTAGAAGTAAGAGTTTGTGAACTATGTACTGATGTCCGACGAGCAATTCACTACTATTATAGTGGGGCATTTGAAAAACCACTGTGATGTGAAAAGTGTCGGCATCAGTGGCACATTATTTAAATAAAGCAGAGTTACGGCAAGCGAACATAATTTACTTCAATACTGCGCCTCGAATGCTTATAATGAGTTAAATACGAAAGTAATAAACATTAAAACATAGGTATATGTGAACGGATAGTGGTTAATTGAAGCCTCCTGGTTAAGAAAACTATATACATGTATCGTGAAGTATCGGTGATTATTTTTGAGAAATTCTGGAAATTGCGTTGTAACTCAGATTAGATGATATTTGTTAGTGGAACACCGTACATGATTTGAACTCATTTGTGAAACAACAAAGTTAACGCTATTCTGCAAAGTAAACTCGATGAAGCCGAAATCTAAGATCAGCATTCATTTATTCAAATACTTAGCGTCATCTCAAGACTACTGTTTTACGATGGACATCATCAGTATAATATTTGTTAATGTTTGGCATATCACACTAGTAGTCAACTAGATTTCTTTAGCAATCACAGAACGTATTGTAACACAATTTAATAGATACTAAAAGAGAATGTTGATACAAATCACTGACATGCTAAGGACAACCAAACAGTTCAGTTGTCTAACATAGTGTTACAAACAATCTTACATTTTTACCCAGTATTCGTTTTGCGGTAAGATGATATACTGTATCATTGACATTGTGTTAACTTTCCTGAAGTTATAATTAGTCAATAACAGGTTGAATTTGCACTGGGAATTAATCTATTTTCAATGACCTTATTGAATATGACTCCACAATCTCCTACTATCCAGATTTTACTGCTATTATCTAACACAGTAACAGTAATCATTTTGAATTCATTATATTGCATTAGATGTAGATACCAGCTGACAAACGTTTCTAAACCAAACCATCAGAAGAAATTACAATAAACTAGTGAGTTGCAATATTTCTCTGTGCACAAAAATCTAACAAGCATGTTAGTGAAAAGTATTTAGGCTAAATACGTAAAGTATTGTTAATTTAACTATACAAATTAAGAAGAAATGATTATGCATTTCTTTATTCTGTGATTTTACCAGAAAATAAGAAATAATGAGTTATTGTTGATAAACCTTGTATACAGTTCTTAGACTGAGACAGTATTTTTCTTTTTGCTTCATCTGGTTAGATTCACTGAAGCGTTTACAACATATATATAACAAGAAAATACTCTTTTAAAGCCTTTTTAATTAGATTCACTTATGTTTTGTCTAGTGGTAATCTAGATTAATTGTTTTTGAGTAACCATAACAATAAAGATCCATTATGTAGAAACAAAATCACTTGACATACTGAAAAAAATCGTCTGACTGTTAATTGACACTTTGTTTCAGAAAATAAAAGAACGTTTCATTATTCTCTTTAAACATAACAAATCCAGATAATACATTAATTGTTTACAATTCTTTCCTTGATTTCATGGGATGATAACAGGACCATATTTTCAACATTTATACAAACTGTGTCATAAATTTTCTTCTCTGATAAAATAGTTTGAGGAAACTATGTTTATAATTACAATGTTATGGTGGACTTAGGTTGAAAAGTTTATTTTATGTTGTATAAGTATACGTACATTGTTTATGAAATTTACTTTTCAACCAGAAATTTTGGATTAAACAATGAATGACCAATATCCTAGATACAATCTTGATGACTATTACCAAACTAGAATATAACCACTGCCAGTCCTATCTGGTTTTTAATGGTTTCCCAGATGATATGCATCAATAATGCAAAAATTAGCTTCAAAATGAATTTAGCATCATCAACTACTTAATGAAAGAAAGTTCATTACTTCATGTAAATATAAGGAAGGGAATTAATCAGTGTTATGTTATCTTTCTTAACAAGTCATTGATTTATACCTATAAGTAAGAAGTAATCGTTTGAAGACGAATCAATGGAAATGGATAGCTGAGTAAAACGCAATATCTTTTGATTTGCGAAATTTCCATTTCACTTCGCGTATTTGGTAAATTCAGTTGGTATTTGGTGTATGTTAGTTACAAGCAATGATTTAAACATAATAATAATCTTCGATGAAATTATGCTGTCGTGACTCGATCCAGTATATTTACGAGATTTCATTAAGATGTAGACTCGGAATTATGCCTGTTCAGGAGCTATAATTATAAGTTCATTTCTTATTCTTTAGAAAAAAGAACATCTTAATCTTCTAGTGTATTTGACAATATTATAAACTACAATAGTTATTAACTAGAGAGAAATATGGAAAAAGTACTAATTTAATTTTTATTAAACCACCAAATATTTATGTAGATATGGAACCACTAAAAACATTGTCTGATATTTGTTTCTATTCATCATCAAGACATCACTGAGAACCTAAAGAGACTCATGAATACATGAAATCTATCGAAACTCTTTTAAACTGTAATGATAATGTACTGTATTTTGGTAAGATAATAAAGAACAGAGCGACTGAAATTTAATCGATGAATTATAATACATTATGTTGTTTATGTGATAAGAAATGATTGTAAATGAAATGATCTGAATAATTTTATGGTGAACGAGGTTTATTTATAGTTACTTTAACAAAAAGTGAGGTTGAGCAAGAACTTGTTATATGGAGTCACTGTAGGAGAGCTCTCCAAGTCACATTATATACGATCTCATTATCGAATTAACCGATTTTAGTTTTAATACTCATCCAGTAGTTTTGAGTGTAAAAACAGTTGTAGACCGATAACGATCTGAAATTTTTGTTATTAACCAATTTTAAAATCATATATTGTTAGGTCATTTATTCAGGATACGTTATATTATTCACTGATGCACTAAATACTTTCATTCTAGTCTTATATCACAATTTGTAAATAAATTAGTTTTACCGTATAAAATTTAGACCATTGCTAATTATCTCTTACAAAAACGTTAAAGTTGTCTTACAAAAAAGGATGGATAGTGGCTAGCAGTGGGATCCAGTACATGTGTTTCGTCCTACTCGGGACTCGTCAGCTGGATGTACCTGCATCTCAAAGTTGATGTCCACTTTGGGACTTCATTTAGTATCGTTCACTTCAGACGCCATCGCGTTACGCACTGAGTCCTGATAGCCACCTGCTTGTGAGACAGGTGAAGTTTAAATTCACTTGGGATTATCTGATTGTATCTTCCCATTGTTGTTAAGGACTGTAAGTGATCATTTTCTTGTAGGCATTTGTGCATCTTGTGACGACTGCTTCGATATTGCCTTGACTCACAAGCTTTATAAGCAAAGATGGATAGTGGCTAAAAGTGGAATCCAGGACGCACGTTTCATCCCACTTAGGACTCGTCAGCAAATAATACCAAGCGAACGAGAGTTGTTTGTTTCACAAAAGATCTGATGCATACTAGGAAATAAGAATACTTATTAAAATTTGTCATGTAACCTTATACGCATTCGTGGTAAAAAGCATACTGACATGCCTAAGTCATATAGAAATTCATGATATTTTGATTTGAGTTTTTTTTTACTGAAGAACCTTTTCCATTTCATCAGTTGATAAATTGTGATTAACATTGGATGATCGGTCATATATATTCTATCGTTCTATGAGATTAAATGACTGATACATATTTTATTTCAATCAACCAAATTGTATTCTTTTAATTAAATGATACATCTATTAATATAACATTAACTAAAACAAAAGTGATTATTTATGAATTTAAATGTTTGACTATACATTGTTTTAAATTTTATTTTCATTTATTTGTTTTAATCTACAATTTAGGTTAGAACGAATCAAAAGTTCGTAGGAAGTATAGAACATGAACGTGACATGATTAAATCAAGACACTATTAAGATTGACTTCCTATTATAAACTCCCCATATCTCATTATTTTAGTTACGTTATTCTAACTGAGCAATAAAAAAATAATGTAAATATCTGCATACGTAAGAAACAACTTTATTTTAAGCACTATTGAAATGATACGAATTTACATGCAGTTTAATTCATTTTAGTTATTTGACTTGATTTTAAGTAATACAATATGAATTTCTCAAACGGAAATTCACACATAAGGTTAGATCATTTCTTTAGAATATTATCATAATATAAGGTTGAAATGAACTCAATGATTTTCCTACGCTCAAAACAATATATCAACTTATTAATTCTGATAGATTGTAAATATATTTAAAAAAAATTAGTTTGCTTAAAAGAAGATAAGGCTCTAGAATTGATCCTATGACCTTAAAGTATTCGTCTTTAATAAATTCAACTTTCATTTATCGCTTAATTTATAGACTACAAAATAGTTCTGATATTTTCTCTGTCTGTCATTAGAATACAAATGAAAAACTGTAATTTTAAAGTCATCGAAATTACAGAAACATACTAGGTATTATAGAAACTATATTGTTAATTGACAAAATATACATCACCAGATAAATCAGTAGTAATTCTTATGATGTTGGATAAGATAGCTCTATCAGACTTCAGTCAGTCAGTCAACTACAACGTAAGACCAGGAACATATATGAATGGGTCTAAGTTGCCATACTCCATTAACACAGAAAGATGAACACCGGATTCATAGAAGTAGTTAATTCAATGGTGGTAATATATAAAAGAAAGATTGCATATAAGGACATAGTACAGTAAAAAAGAATTAGTACATAGAAAGAAAGATATGAAGCGATTTTAAGATCATAGTTTAAGGGGAAGACAGAGAGTGTATACACCTACGCCAATGTGATCGATTCTGAGCCATGCCACTAAGAGTTTCCAACCGTTAGTTACGATAGTCACGCGGACCCTAACCAAGTAGTCTGCATCTATCAGAATTACGGAAACATTCAAAAGATGTTGTTTTAAATATAACATTACTTATCACACACTAACCCACTTCACATGTATATATGTCATTTTGAACTTAAATGCATCTCATGTGTTATATAATGTTTCAGATTAGCTATATATTCTATTCCTTAAATTTACATAGACAATGGACAGAAAAATAAAACAATCATCATTCATATTTAAGTGTAAACTTTACAAATATATATATATATATATATATATATATATATATATATATATATATATATATCGCACTTTATCATTCTCTTTTATATAATGAAACCTATTAAATAGAAAATATTTTAACTCACCTAAAACTCTATCATCCTTCCATATCATTTCATCTGTATTATTCATTGTAACTTCAGTTTCATCACCATAATTGTAATGATCTTTATTGAATTGTTTCAATTTATATTTATTTAATTGAATTAATGTTTGATGAATATGTAACCATTTGATAACTTTTTGTCGTAATAATTTAACAAATTGACTTTGTATTACAGTTTTTGTTATTCTATTATCATTTATTGTATTACGATTAGTTTCAGTTAATTCAACGTTGCATAGATTTATATTTTGAATATCCTTTATTGATAAATATTATGTAATCAAACAAATCATTAATCAGTCCTATTTATAAATATCTTTTATTGATATGATAATAATTCTCTAAACATTAATCAATAATAGTTAGCAATGTCTTTATTCTAAAAATGTGGAATTATGAATTAGTTGTTGCTTAATTCTAGAGACAAAAAAAACCTCCTTTCAATTATTAACGATAAATTAATCTTAATCAATATTCAATCATCTCCTTTGTATATTCTATTTATTTATTCAATAAATAATTCATTAAATAATCTTTATTCTATGATTGTGTAACTTATGTACCATGGAAAACCTATAAGCACTGGACGGCCTTTTTGTTTTAGTATGGAACTTCCAGTAGTGCGCATCCAGTATCACACGTCACAAGATTCGAACCCAGGATCTATCGGTCTCGCGTGTGAACGCTTAACCTCTGGACTACTGAGCCGGCATCCAGTGGTATTAGTGTCTAACTTCAACTAATCCAAGAATATGGATTAATTGATTAACACATAAAAAATAAATATACCTAACATGTAGCTGAATATACAACTGAAATAATTGACAAAATTCTCACTGTGAATATGATGGATTACATAACTAGATAGTTCATGCTTTGTTCATCCATTCACTATAATTCCCAATCAAAATTATAAAATAATAAAAAATATTATGTGTACTAATTAGACAAACATCTTGTATATTATTTTTTGGTCCCAATAAACGAAAACACGGGTAGAGACGACCAATTATACTGCAACATTAAATCATCTCAGACTTTATTGTTCTTTCATTTCTATATCAATTACTCTCTGTTCCCGTTCTCTTTTATTTGATCTTCTCAACTTGCTATTGTTAGGTATTTCTTTTTCTATTTGGCGTTATATACTACGCATGTCGACATAAGTAACACACAGCACATTGAATCTTATGCATACTTTGAATAATTCTTTTGCTGAAAGACGTTATTTATCATTAACTTTGTTCACGGTTAATCATTTTATTCAAAGATGAATTTAATTACTATGGGAAACGAGTATTCAACAACTAACAGAAACTTGTATCTTAGAGTCGATCTAATCATGCTTTCAAAATAATTTAAATTGTTTGCAGATATTGATGTTTCTTTTCAGGGATTTCACAGTGGTGACAAGCAAATAACTCTGTCCAAAAGTATTATGTACATTTTATTATATTACGATCTGAATAATCATCTTCCCGTTAATCTTATGTTTGGGTGCTATTCTTTCTCTAACTACGAAATGTTGCTTCATGATTGTCCTGAGTCAGCTGCTGAATTAATGATAGAGAGTGAAACAACTGAATGCATCGACTGTACCACTTATTTTGAGAGTCTTATTGGTCCTGATGGCATAGTATCTGATGAAATCTCGGCACCGATTTACAAGTCTCCACTGACTTTTCCCAACTTGTGTTACTTGTGCGTTGGCGAGATATCCATCTGATGACCAAAAGAATAATTTACTTCACAGCAATTCTCATTACTCTACTTTATGATTGTGAAACATAACCATTAAGAACAGAGGATATTCGTAGGTTGCTAATATTCAATCATAAGTGTCTTCGAAACATTTCTCGTGTATTTTGAGACCACCGAGTAAATAATACTCAGGTTAGGAATGTAGAACTAGGTAAAGATGGCAAATCGATTGATGAACTAGTAAATCTTCACCAACTAAGGTGGGTTGAGACATGTGTGACGTATGCACAGCCACCGCCTATTTCAACGCGCCATGTTGCTGGTGTGCGTGTCGGCTGGAAGAAAGCTAACAGTGGCCACCCATAAAGTCACTGACAACTGGACTGAGCCATGTTAATAGATGTAAACTACCTGGTTGGTGCCTGCGTGAATGCTGTAACCAGCGGTTAGAGATTTTGAATGACATGGCTCAAAATCGTTTGCAGTGATGCAGGCTCATTCATTTTTTATCATCTCGTATATTCTGAGCTTCTGAATTCCTCATAATTTTTATATTATTGTAAATTATATTTTCTTGATCTATTATCTTTGATGCCATATCTTTCTGTTACCATTGATACTGTTATTAGCTCTTTTACTGTGAGATTGTCCCTGACATTTTCATCTTACTGTGCTAGTGGGTTGTGATAACTTGAACGGCTGTATATAAATACCACGCTTTACTTTGAATCTGACTGACTATCTGGCTTCCCGTTAATTTGTTTATCTAACCATTAGTCGTTACCACATTCAGTTTCATTTCAACTACTTTGATTTACACAGAGTTAATTCTCTACTCCTATACTGATTTCAAGAAATAGAATCTTAGATCGATAATAATCAGTACTAGAACTAAAGATTTCTATGTCCATTCATATTCTTCTTTCCCTTTATAACAATCATATTGAAAGATTAACTCATAAGTAATTTCTACGCATTCAATTCACAGATTATGTTGATGAGAGGAAATAAAACCGTTAAGCTTCGATAACTTTCAAAGTATTAGAGCCATAGCTGGACTCTGGAAGAATCCAAGTATTTACTTTTCTACATAATACTAGTAAATCTAGTTTTTGATGAGTACTTTAATCCTGTTGTATTTTTGATTAGCGATACAGAAGGATGAAAGTTGATAACCTCTTATCAGATTAAGCGTTTTCAAAGACACGTAGGTCTGCACGCTGAATGTTTATCACAATGCTTGAAGATCCTATATTTGAGCTCCGATAGATTCATGTGCCCAGAGCTGTGGAGGTCCAAACTAGGACAAAACGGTTATTTAATGCTTTCCATCTTTTGATGGTTGTTGAAATTAATTTGGTCCATGTTGTGAGAATGCACGATTACTTCACTATTTAACTAACGCTATATGGATGCAGTGACTACCTCTTTCTATTGATATAAGGTTTGTATGGATAGAGCATCTAATATTTTTGGAGTTGATTGTTATTCTACTCTTCATCAAAAAACTTTCCTACTGCGTTTATTGATTTTAGAGCACAACTCGTAATGTCATATTTCTCACTGATTACTGTAATGTATTCCATATATACCTTAGAAAACTTTACATCCTGAATTGAATCGTTATCTAAATGTTACACTTATGTTAGTAATACTTTACACGGTTCTGATAAACATCATCTTCTCAGTGCACTGTTAGATTATCACACACATAATACCAATGGAATACAGATGTATATGTTTAAGTAATGATAACATATAAACAAAACATTTGTTTTCTAAAATGCCTTTAGTTTCTATGGTAATGAAATATGAACACTGACTACAAAAAATAACTTCGGACTGCCTTAGTGAATACTATTTTTCGACAAATTAGCTTTATATTTTATTTTTATCATTCCCACCAGATCCCACTTAATTGTGATAACCTCATCGACCGTCTTAGTAAAGTTATCATGCCAATTATTATCATTAGTATTATTATTGTTAAGGAATTTGTGGAGATTTTAGAATTTTCATAGTTTAAATCATGAACCATGTTTAGGGTGAAACAATTATCCATCCTCGTAACGGAAAACGGCTGTGCAATATTATGAATTGAAGTTAAACATCCACACTATCAGATCTTAGCTCAATGATCTTTAGGTTAAACGTTTATAAGCAAGAATGAAGATCCTGGGCTCAGTCGACAGAAGCCTATCATGTGACGTACCTAAAATGTATTCAAAAGGATCCAATCGGAATTCATCATTAATTACACTATACTGTTTACTCCAGTGATCATAGGTTACTGACTCATCATATAACTGATACAACATGATAGTTATCCAACTCAGAGAGCGGAAAATAGTCGCTTACTATCGAGAACCAATCCAAGTTTCATATGTTTACCATTTGATGACAGCTCAGCGGTCTAGAGGTTAGTCGCTCTCTGTTAAACCGAAGGTCTTCGGTGCTATACGCAGTAGGATCGTGGATGGACCCTCTTGAAGAGTTCTATGGTAAGATGAAACAGTTTGCCGTGTCTATCCTCGTTTTTAGTGATAGTTTAGTCAAGGTCAGTTCGTTTTGAAACCATGAAAGTTACTATTATTATTAGCCTTATCTTCATTATCATAATTGTTTCAAATTTGTTTAACCACTCCTATATGTAACTATTTAATTATTTGCACCCCCTCAGAATTTTCGTACCACTTTGAATTATTACCATGATAGTTATTATTATTATTATTATTATTATTATTATTATTATTATTATCAGTATTATGAATTCGTATCATTAGATTTGTGTAACGAATATCATAATAATTTTATCATTTGTCTATCTTAATTTGCATATTTTTTCTTATTCCTGATTATAACATGATCCCTCTTATTTATCCCGTTACTAATAATATTGTATGGATGTGAAAAGTAATTGAGATTACTATTCATTGGTAAACTGAATGAAATTGTGTATCAAAAAAGAAACTACACTTATAAACGACTTTATTTATAGATTTAGTGTGTATATTAAGGGTTGTAAAGAGTGTGAAACAAAATGGATTCATTTTATCCTAAAATGTTCGTGCTTCTTGTTATATAAGAGATCAATAAATAAGTCTGTCTCTTATGTAATAATTTTTGTCATTCTTGATACTGTATGAATAAATATTTCCATTATTTCTTATTAAACATTTAAGAAAATGAATAAGATTGTTTGAAGATAGATTATATCACGAAATGATTATAGTCATATGACCATTAAATACCAAAGTGTCCTGGTGTGTTGCATATTTATATTATAAAAAACTCGAGCCACGAGCACCACTGACACTCAGGCATTGTATGTTGAGATGATGGTGGCTAGCAGTGACTGAAGATAATAACGAGGCAATCAGCATAGGATGCACATATGTCAATAAGAGACTGATCAATTGCGGTCCCAAATATCAATGATACGTATCAAGTAATCAACACAAAAATGAATTAAACTTCATCCGATTGCACAAGCTAGTGATTATCTTAACTCAGTAAGTAACTGATTAACACAATAGTGTTTGAGGCAAATGGTACTGGTTTCGAGTCCCGGGGTAGACGTCAAACGTGGGATGCAGGTACATTTAGCTGACGACTCCCAAATATGATGAAAACGCGCGTCATGGATGTCACTGCTAGTCACCATCATCTCAGCTTGTAAATTAGTTTTCTTCAAAAGAAATACTCGAAATGTTTTATTGAAGCAATATGAAAATATACTGAGATAAATGAAGAAGAAAGCATACGAAAGAAATAGGGAAGATAGTCAAGCTTCACTTGAATGTAGATTAGTCATTGATTGGTTGACAAGTGAGAAATGAATTGACATCGCATTTATAATTTTGCTAGTTTGTATATGTTATTTGAATTTTCTTTGGAAATTGATACTTGTTAAAATCACAAGATTTGTAATTAGAAACAAGTGAAAGGAATATAGTTAATACTTATGTATATGATAAATTATACGAATGTAAACATTCATTTTTCTCTTAAGAGAATTTCTGTACAAAAATAACAGTAAAGGAAACGACTTAGTGTTTTCTTAAAAACTGAAATAAGGATGAATAATTTCACTATTCAGTTGGTTCATCGGTTAAGACTGATTAGAGTAGTATAAAAACTGGCTTATATTTACACTTCCCAATGATAGCAAAGGTTTGATGGAAGAATTGCATATGTATATGTATGGTGAAAAACTAGACTTCCTCAAATTATTTCAATCCTATTATCCAAAAAATATTAATTACATTAGTTCAATTAGTTAATAGTTTAAAATAAATGAGAACTTTCATGTGCATTTACTTACCTCCAGGTCAAGTTGTTCGTTGATTTTTGTGCACTCAGTAGAAGTATAATTTTGTGCCATGTCAATAATTTTCGTCATTATTTCAGCTTCTTCATCCGTATCTGTATCGACTGACAGAAAATCTTCTTCACAGTTAATATCAGTTAACTTTGAAAATTATAGAGAAAAAATTCATTACAATATATTAGTAAGAAACAAGATTTAGTTTTGAAATGAGCAATATAAAATTACTAAGCCGCATTTATCTATTTTTCATACGAAAGTTGTTTAGCGAAGAAAATTCCTTTTTTTCTCTGATATCATTTACTCAAGCTGTGCAACTGTATTTTTAATTAACTTGATACAATGTAGTCTGTAGTAAAATAGAGATATTGTTCAACTAGAGTATCATTGAGAAGAGAACTTTCTTCTCTGTGATGTCTTCTTTTTGTCTAATGACACAATAAGTTTAATCCGTTAATTTGCATATAACAATGACAAAATCTCGTGAACAGGAATTCATATTTATAAGCTGATTTATGGAGTGTGAATGGAATCTAAGAGGAACGGCGTGTTTCCCTTACAATTTGTTATTTGTGTATGCTGTTAGGGATTTTGAAAATTCATATATGCATTACTTACTTATGCCTGTTACTCCCAATGGAGCATAGGCCGCCGATCAGCATTCTCCAACCCACTCTGTTCTGGGCCTTCCTTTCCAGTTATGTCCAATTTTTGTTCATTTTTCTCATATCTGTCTCCATTTCTCAGTGTAGTGTGTTCTTTGGTCTTCCGTTTTTCCGTTGGCCTTGAGGTTTCCATGTGAGAGCTTGCCTTGTGACATATACAAATATCGTGAATCATGGCAAGCGTTCAGTTAGAACACTTTCCATAACGATATTTATACTAAATACTGTATTGAAGCTTATGCAGTTTCTAGTACTATACCAAGCCCATATGGCTGTACTAGTTACTGGACGGGCCAATTAATGTATTCATATCGAGTCACATGTCGACCTAGTGAATTACTCGCTTATAACCTTGACTGTTTTTATACTAGCGTATATGTCTGTATTGCTTACCCTATTTATCACATGTCTTTAATTTATTTTTGTCTGACTATAGATCAGGCCTTCTCAAATGGAGTATTTACGCCTGCCTTTTTCGCCTCACTTTAATTTTGGGCTTCTTATTAATTTTTGTTTCAGTAGACGAGTATCTGAAATAAATCCATCCATTTCAAACACTATTTGACTTATCACCACTGTCATACAAATAGGATTAGCCTAGGTGTAATATACCGAGTTAAATGGAAGATATATATTCATGAATTCTTCATAATTTCTTTATAATTGGAGTCCGATTAATGGGCCACTAAAGACAACCATTGATACTAAAATAATTTCGAAAAACAAGTCCTATGTATAATTAAATGGACAATGAATTTATTACTGCTCATTACGTAATAACATGAAAATGTCGCCAACACCAATTATTGATTAACAGTTTTTAAAATTATTTTTACAAATCGATAGAAATGGGTTTGAAACTGTCATAAATAACTTTGTATCGTAGTTTCAATGATACGAAGGAAACAGTAACAATATAAAATGTAATTGTTTCGAAAAACACATAACAACGGTTACTATATACGTAAGCAAGTTTATGTTCATAAAGAATTTGTATTCTCAGCAATGAAGTTTCCCCATACCATAAGGATACTTAACAATGAACAGGACTTCGGAATTGTTTGCTGGAATTTTAATCATAACTAATATTATATACATAAAACTAAGATATTCATACTACTATGAGAGATTTTAATAGTTTAATAAATACTTCTAGATGAATTATCAAGTTTATAACTTACCAAATTGATTTTATTCAACCTTTGTATTTTTAATTGAATTGGAAATGGTGTTGATTTTAATAATCTAACTGATTTCATTAAATCCATGTTAATTAAATTTATTTCATTTACCTAAATGAAAAGGTTAAGTTTGATTAGTAAACAGTATTTACATAACAATTATGATTAGATCAATGTAAATTAACTTAACAATATCTATTGAATTTACCTTTTTCTTTTCAATATAAACTAATTATTGCATATTTTCTCTTTATTAAAGTTTTCCTAATATTTTTAGATGAAAACATAAATTACCTGATACATAAAGTGAACTTGTTTTGAATATTTGATGTGGAAAGAGAGAGATAATAAAGAAATAAAGAATAGAGGCTTTTTCTTGGGACATTGTTCCACTTAATTTAAGATCTTTAAAGTACTAGCATTTAGTTTTATCCTTGTTTAATGTGTAACTTACTGTCATATGCTTTTCTGTCACTAAATTACTGTAATTTAAACGTCACCTTTGTAATCCAGTTTTCAACTCGAATACCCTGGTTTGAACACAACTGTATATTACTGTGTATTGTAGGTAGTCATGCTAATTCAAATGCATTAGAAACGTTTTAAGATAGTCCCTATTCTTTTCGTTAGCTAATCAACCTGTCAGTTCATAGTTCAGTGACAAAAATGTTTCCTTCACTTTGTCATTAAGAGCTTTTAAAGATTGTCAAAATCACGGATTGCAAGTCTTAATGCTTTACTAAGTAGCCTATCGCTTTAAGACCTTAAACGAAATTGAAACAATTCTCTCACTCTGACTGTATATTAAGCACAGACAAGTGGGCAGACATATCAAGGGGTTAATAATAGTCGCGTTTTTAGGCCACATATCTGTTTGTTAGATAAAGAATCACATTATAATGAGGTACTTAAGAAATATGATGTACGGCATGTGATAATTTTCTGAATCTCATGGAAACTAAACAAAGCTACCACAACTACTACCAACTTCATTTAACATCACACCCCAAAAATGTTTCTCAATACCATCTTCGAATGAATTCACACCTGTTCATATATATATATATATATATATATATATATATATATATATATATATATATATATATATATATATATAATGTATAATGGAAACTGAACACTGTATACTTACTGATAAAATACAGTCCCCAATTCGTAAATGACTGTTTTTATTGGGAAGTTGAATACCACTGATGACTACGTAATAATTTGAAGTTTCGTCGAATAATGAGTTCAAACCTGAAGCAAAAAAAGAAATAACAACTGATGTTTGATCTACCCAAAAATGTGCACGTAAAACAATACACCAGTGGGTGTTTAAAAAAAACAAATCTTAAATAATTTTGATGACAGATCTGATACTTTGGCATTTGCAAGTGATCGTACCAACGATCCAAGACTACATTGATTCAGGAACAGTTATTTAAATATTTGATAAATGAAACTACCTCATACAAAATTTACAACTAAAAAGTTCTATTGAAATAGGTCTATGGAGATTACTTAGTTTAAGGAAAGTTTGTACTGCAGACCAACGTTACTTAGACAACAATTAAAAACTGGCGGGAGCCAAATAGGCATTCTGCCGTCTTTGAGACTTTCGGGGAGTTTTTATCATTATTATCACTAGCTTTATTAGCTTTATTCAATATCCTATTTTTGGTAAGATGTAGAATTCTTAGCATAAGTTACCGGCAACCATATCGCGGAATGACTCTAATAACCTAAAGTTTTGAAGATTAAGAGTTATTTTCATATTAGACTCACAATGGTAAACAATCCATCAATAGTTCAAATGTCCTAAGTTATGAGTCTTTACATCAAGATCGGATTTAGCCTGGATAATCATTGTAACTCATTGAAATCAATGAAAACATGTTAAGTATTATTTGAATAGTAGTTAGAATAGAAACCTAGCACAGAGTGGGTTGAAGAATGCTGATCGGCGGCCTATGGTCCATTGGGAGTAACAGGTGTAAGTAAAGTAAGTAATTAGAATAGAAAAACCAATTATATACCGACTATATTGTTCACACGATGGTAGTTCAAAAGACTCGTTTCTTTTTTATGAATTAAAAATGTTATACAATCTCAATGCAGTGTAGCTCAGAACAGTAACAATGACCTTTAATTAATACTGAACATAAAAACTATACCTTAGTGCATAAACTGTTCAACGTACATTCCATGGCAAGGATAAAGTATCTATCATATCAAAACTTACACGACTTTTTAGTTATGCCATTCTTAAAATGTATTTATGCTTTTCACACAATAGTTATTAAGAATTATTCAAGATTTTTGACTTATACAATGTATATTTCTTAAATAATGTTATACATTAAAATATTATAACCTCAGATTATGTGTATTCCATATATTTTAGGGTGTGTATTATTTACAATTCCGTGATATTTTTTATTAAGATCATGAACCAGTTGATGTTAAGCCACTATTGAAAACTTGAAAGCATTGTAAGGCCGTTTCGTCTTATTGTGGGACTCCTCAGCAGTAAGCATCCACAATCGCGCCCCTACGATTCGTACTCAGGGCCTTCAGTCCCACGTGCGAATGCTTAACCTCTCAATCAAAAACATATTAATCTCCACAACACTATAATGATAATTCCATGATAAATGTCCAATCAAAATACTATACATATTATTTCATTTCAAATAATATACTATTATTTATTTTGAATTTCAACTATCCTTTTGTATTACATTTTCAATGTGACTTTTCTAGTTATTTTAAGAATAGGTATTATTTAATAGGGAATCAATTATTCTTCATAGGACTTGAATTTTACAACTTCCGTCTAATACAAAGTTTATTATAATAACACAATGAGATTATTTTTTATATTAATGATGTAAATAAATAGACTACATATTATTTAAGAAAAGAAATTAGATTGGATATGCAAATCAGTTAAACATTTGAACTTCGATGATGAATAAAAAGGTTGGTTTATATTCCCGAGAGCGGGATCGTGGATGTGCACTACTGAGGAGTCCTACAATAGGACGAAACGGCCGTCCAGTGCTTCCAGGTTTCCAAAGGAGGTGGTCTAACATCAATCGGTTCATGATCTTAATCAAAAAAAAATATTGTCGTTGTGATTTATTATAAACAATGATTTGCCTAAGCATTTTCACTTGTAGGTTGTATTGATTTGATTTTCTTACAAAAAAAGGAACTAGCAACAGTTGTTACCATATGTGCTTATTTATGTTTTCGAAAAACAATATAAAAAGAAATAAATCACTTAAAATAAAAAAATCGATATTATTTGTCTCCGGAACAATTCATGTTTGAATTTTAAAATAGAAATTAATAAAAAAAAAATTAAATTAGTGATGTAAAAACAAATGATATAATCTACTATTAAAAGAAATACGTAATAACTCTCTTATTTGCGAATAGAATTGTAATTAAACTTGATTATTTTATTTTAATTTAATAGTTGAATTCATGAGTTAATTGAAGTTAAACCACAATGGTAAACATGGGACCATTGGACGCCCATTTCGTCCTTGTATGGAACTCCTCAGCAATGCGTATCCATAATCTCACATCGTGAAATTCGAACCTAGAAATTTTCAGTCTAAAAATCAGTAAAATAGTTACTCATTTAGAAATGGATAATATTTAACTTTTGATATTAGTTAAACTGTAAAAAATTAATTTTAAATGCTTTATAATAAGTTAAGCGTTTCGATTTAGTTGAAATAATCATCAATAAACTTGATGTTCATTTTTTTCAGCTATCTAAATAGTTTATTTTCAACATAAAGTAAAAATGATACCACATTTTAAAATGTTAACTGTACATTTAAACAGCACTTTTAAAACTAAATGAACACGATTTCGAGATTATGGAAAATTATGCACAAATATAGGAACAAAAGTCAAACCAATGGGGGACACAACCAAAACAAAGAAGTAAACAATGAAAAAATTAAGATCAATAAGAACCAATCAACGTCGAGGTGTACAGAACAAGCTGTGAAACGCATATGGAGAAATTCGAACACTTCACTTCTATCTGAAGTTTGTGCTGATGATGTCGTTCAGAAGAACGATGAAAGCTCCACGACCAAACCATCTAGCTCAGAGAACAAAACTCCATAAAAAAAGAACACGATTTCAAATAGAATTTCTAATGAATTTTGTATAAGAATCTAATTTTCGTTATGATCACTAATAAAAGGAAAAAGTCTGCATATAATAAATGAAATGGAGTTAGCAGTGAAATTCAGGAGGTATGTTATTTTATTTAGAACCCTACAATATAAAAGATTACAAAAAAACCAAGGAAAAATTATATTATTCTGTCTAGTAAAAATGTAATACATTTGCATACTCCGTTATATTTAGTGATATATTTGTCGGAAGTTCACTTCAAGCTTCAAATTACTTGCATACATGTGTAATTCTTGAAAATATCTCAGTACATATTTACTCGACCAGATTGTTGATAATGCTTCAGATGACAGATAATTCCCATTTAAACATTAAAATTAAAACACGAAATTCAGCGATGCCTTAAATTCTCATTGTTTTATTCGTAAATGCTCATCATATCACCTTATTTATTTTCTACACCTCTATGACCTTTAATTATTATGACAAAAAAACATTGTAAGCATCATATTATATTCACTAAATCTATTGTTATCATTCATATTACGTAATCTAGTATTATAACCTTTTTTATTAACTGTGTTCACAGTTCCTCACGGAATTAGTACTTTTACAAAAAACAAAAAAATTTCACATATATATACGATTGTACAGCTTGATAATAAATTCGTTGAAAAGAGATCCCTTCGCTGAACTTCATGTTTTAATTTTAATGCTTCAGATGTTTGGCAATACTTCTAGTGATTTTATAGATCAACTGATTAACAAGATATATTCTCAATAAATAAGAAGCCTCTACATATGATCATGAAAGCAAAACAACATCAAATCATTTCTTCTTATGAAAGAGCTCATCAGTGAAGTTATAAAATATTTCCAATCTTGGTCTTTTTACATCATGTGATAACTTGAATAGTTTTCTACATAGAGAATCTAGAATTCTTTCAGTGAAAGAATAAAAAACAACAACTGATTAATCATAATTTATAATTGAAAAACCTTACGTGATACTGAAAATCCTAAATTTTGATTAGAATTTCTATAAACGTATAGTGTGAACTGTTCAGACAACAGGTTAACATTTTGTATTATATTATTATTTATAAATTCATCTACAGTTAAATTGTTGTTGCTGTCATTATCTTCTTTCTTATTTTCTAATCTTCCCCCAATGAGTAGTTGATTTTGTTCAGTTTGAGAAGAATATTTATCTGATTCATTTGAATGATTAGAAATTATAAATGAATGTTCACTTTTAGTCTTGTGATACTTATATTGTTTATCTGTTGATAAAGTATTTTTTAGTTCAATAGATTCTTGATTTAAATTTTTGAATATGCCTTTAACTGAAAGTGCATCATAATTGAAATCAATAAATCCTTCATGATTGTGCTGATTGTTAATGTTTGAGAAGGTAGTTATATTTGGCATAGCAACTGACTTTGAATTTAGTTGTTCATTAGAATTCCAAAGATTAAGTGTTTTATTCACTTGTCTCAAATAGAATTGTTCATTTGTCCAAGGAAATTTATTATTATTCAACTTTATAATTGGAATATTACTGCGTGATTTAAACATATGGTTATAAGCAATTTTGTTAAACTGATCAATTTTTTGCTTAACATTTGGTAGTTCCTTTTTTAAAATTAATTTGTCATTTTTATTAGGCGTATCCATTGAGTAGTAGTAAATTGGATTACTTTCAGTAATTAAGTATTTTCTAACAGTTCTGTAAGGAGAACAAAATAAAAATACAAAAGAAGTTTTGTTTATTAATTTTAAATGAATATTGCTTTTTTGATATTTAGGACTGATCAGTCTCTTATTGGGATATGTGAATACTATGCGTATTACCTCGATATTGTCTTAATTTACAAGCATTATAATCAAGGATGGATAGTGAACTCTGGATAGTCAACTCTGAGATGCAGGTACATCGAGCTGACGAGTCTCCAACAGGACGAAACACGCGTCCTAGATTCTACTGCTAGCCACTATCCATCTTTGCTTAAAATGTCAAATTATTTTATAATCTAGCCGTGAGTTTAATAACTTGTGTTTCTGTTGTATCTCATGTTTAAAAGTTCATGCACTTTTATTTCGTATCATATTTGATAATAATGATAACATATAAATGTTTTGATTGCATTTAATATCGTGAAGCTAAACATTGCTAGGAAACCAATTCAAAATATTAATCTTTGATACTTTAGTTATTTGGCCATAATAATTGTTACTGATACCCTGATGATATAAACGCACAAGCTAATATAACAAACATGAACCATTTAGTTTACCACATAATTTATCATGATTTACGGATGGGAATTCATATACCTTGTGGTATTTATCCCCTTATATATAAGGAATTGTGTTATTCTTTGTAATATTCAAATGATTATAAATATGATGTAATTAGTCTACTTGTAATGTAACAGAAAATTTTGTAAAATAAATTCAATGGGATCATCCTTATTTTGTCAAAAGCTAGGGAGGTCTTGTGACGCGAATGTAACAAAAAATGAAGGAGAAAGCGACCAGTGTAGCAGCCTCAGCAACAGTAGGTCTCAATATGCACAAAGGGAAAAGCAAGATTCTCCGATACAACACAACATGCACCAATCAAATCACACATAACGGAGAAGCTTTCGAGGATGTTAAACCTCTACATACCTGGGCAGCATCATGGATTAACACAGTGGATCTGATGCAGATGTGAAGGCGTGAATTGGCAAAGCAAGAACAGCATATTTACAACTGGAACTCAAAACAACTGTCAACCAACACCGAGATCAGAATTTTCAACACAAATGTCAAGACAGTTTTACTGTATGGGATGGAAACCTGAAGAACTACGAAAGCCATCATCCAGAAGATACAAGTGTTTATTAAGAATTTTCCATGCAAAATACTTCAGATCCGTTGGCCAGAAGTTATCAGCAACAACCTACTATGGAAGAAAACAAACCAGTTCTCAGTGGAGGAAGAAATCAGGAAGAAGCGCTGGGAGTGGATAGGACACATAATGAGGAAAGCACCCAACTGAGTCACAACGCAAGCCCTCACATGGAATCCTCAAGGTCAAAGGAGGAGAGGAAGACCAAAGAACACAATACGCTGAGAAATGGAGACGGATATGAGAAAAATGATCAACGATTGGATAGAACTGGAAAGGAAGGCCCAGAACAGAGTGGGCTGGAGAATGCTGGTCGGTGGCCTATGCTCCAGTGAGACTAACAGACGTAATTAAGTAAGAGAGGTCTTAAAATATTAATTATCAAGTATAATCTAGATGATTAAAAATTAGGCATGCTCATTTTCTTAGTGTAGACACTTGAAAAAAATTGGACAGAAAAGTTATTTAGTAGTTTATTTTTTTTTTAGTTTACAAAATTATGTTACCACGCATCATACTACTTATATTTACTCACTATAATAATTTATTATCATATAATATAATAATAAATATGTACTAAAATTCTATATGAGACATCATGAAATATAGATATATGAATTCTTAATTTTACTAAGAAAGTCATTATTGATTATACTGAATTATAAGTAGCTTAGACATTATTGTTATTAGTAGTAGTATTATTATTAGTACTAGTATTAGTATTACACATTTATTGCCTACTATAACTATCCAATTTTCTTTGTCTGATATTATTCTCTGATATTGAGTGATATGTTCTAGTTTAATATAATTATTTCTGATCATATATAAATGTTCTAGACAGATTAAAATGAACATATATGTCTCATGTACTTTTAATGGACAAAATAATAAGATAGGATAATCAATTTGATATGGAAATGATCAAGATAGTTAATAACTTATTTTAGTCATATTAATGATATGAAAGATTAATATACTCATTGTTCACTTTATTTATTTTAGATATCACATTAAGTAATTTGCGTATTTCTAAGTTTATACTTGGTAAATATAAGTGAAATTAATAAGAATAAAGATTTTTGAAGAATAGCATAAGTTCATTTTATTTCGTTTGGTTCTTGTCAGCTAGCTTGTAACCTGTGATATTTAAAAATCATAATTACATAATGGATTATTAATGATTTTTTTAAAATCTTTCTTGAATTTATTACAACATTGAGTTTTTATTTCAACTATCTTTTAAATTAGTAATTTTATTTTATTAACTGAGCTTTACTCATTTTTTATTCCTCTATCAGCGTTTACTCATTATGTAATCACTTGTTTATGGCCTTTTGAACTGTTTTCATAATCAGTATTGTAGAATGTTCTTTCATCTCAATATTGATTGAGATATAAACCAGTTTCTTATTTATCTGAAACTAGTCGACTGACATGTTTTTTCAGTCCGGTTATATTTAGTATTATGCATTGTAGAATACAATAAAATTAATAATGTATGTAATGTGAAGTATTTACTGGTATTCACTTAATCAATGATCACTAAACCTATTACCATTACAGTCAAAAACAGAATACTTTTAATTAGGTTTGTTTAACAGTTATTTACAATAGAAGTTATTACGAAATAGGCATTTACATTGAGAACGTGATCCATTTTATTGAACTTTTAAAAAATTTCAGATTAAATGAGTCAAGATCATGAGTAGATGTCACAAAATTAAGAATATTGTAATCAAAGTGAACATTTAAATAATATAGAAATGACTTACTTAATGTTCTTGAGTAGATATTGGGTTCGATTCAATGAACATGTCAAATTGCAACATTCATATCTATCTATGTCTTAGTAAGTTATTTATTCCTATGTTATAAATGTTAAATTCTTACATTAAACCATTTTTTCCTTAAAAATACAATTTCTTAATATAAAACATGTATAACATGACAATTTATTATGCAGTACGATGTAAATACTACATAATTAAGCAAGAAAGTAGTCGATTTTTGATATTTTTATTGTTGTATATGACCGGCTATTATTATAATATGAAGATTAATGTGATATCCTTATGAACAGAGATTGTTGTTAACTTTAAAATAATTAAAATTTAGTTGAATAATATTTCTTATTATTTGGATATGTATTTCAATGAGGTATTAAGATGGTATGAAGAAAAATCTTCAATTACTTATTACAATTATATTTGTGACTGAAACATCTTGATATCATTACACGGCCCACGAAAAATTGTTATTGATTTTACGGAATGGTACAACAATTTGATCTGAGAAACCTTAGACTTGTCTTGAGTTGCATCGGTGTTAACCAGCGGTAGATGAGAAGTATAAAGTAAATGTAGTTTATTTATCACAGACAGTGACAAGTTCGTGACTTTAAAAACAGATTCTACACTGTCATTCTGTAGTTGCTTTAACTTTTCGGGTTCTTCGCTCACTCTTCAGTCAAGAATTTGTAAACAGTAATTTGAAGACACTTATGATCAAATATCTGTAACCATTCTAGTTTGACTAGTTTTTTCATTCTTACGAGCTAAATTCAACCTTTTCAATCTCTTTCGTGGAAGTTTGTCATATAACGAAATCCCAATAGTGATAATAAAGAAAAGTTGGCTAATGGAATGGAACTGTAATCTAGTTGACGTCATCCTCATTATATTATTTTCATTATTCCAGCTCATTTTGAGAAAAAACTATCACTTCTGTTCAAATTCTAAATAACTAACTTTGGTTAGCTTTCTTCCCTTTCTTCAGTTTTATCTTTTTCCGCCTATTGACTTGAGTTTACATTGAAATTGGCTTTTGTTTCGTCATACTGAAAACTATTTAAATAGATTTCCAAGGACTCATTTGTTAAAAGAGAGTTTGTTGAGTTTTATCAAATTTTTTCTAACACTTTAATGAAATTTATTAAAAGTCAACATTATTATTCTACGACAGACTAGTGATTATGTAACGATCAATAAAACGTTTGGCTATTAATTTTCTAATCACATTGATAAGCATTACCTTGAAATGAAAAGCTCCGAATAATGTTCCAGTTAATTTACATGGAAATTACGTTTAGGTAACATTACTTTCAATGAAAATTAGTAAGAATCTAAGACTTTTAATGTACGTGTTCATACGTTTGAGATATAAACAATTAAGACAGAAAATGATGAAAAATATATCATTCACTGATAACTTATTAAGTTTGTATTGTATACAAGTTGATTATAATTTCGGTAATTAACCAAGTGTTTTGATTGACTATTTGAATAAAAAAGTTTGTATAATTAGTCGTAATGATCATACTTGGTGTTTCAGACGTTTTCCACTTATCATGTTATTACATTTTTAGTAATGATGTGTTCCATTGCATCGAATTTAATTCGTTAGTGATTTTGATTCAATATTCGTTTAAGTATTTTATTTAAATATTATTTCATTGTAAGCAAAGATGGATAGTGGCTAGTAGGGGGACCCAGGACACGTGTTTCGTCCTACTTGGGATCCGTCAGTTGAATGCACCAGACTAATTGTAGTCCTAAAACATCAGTGAGAAGATTCATACAAACAATATAAAAAGAAGTTAAACTTCATCCTATTGCAAAAACAAGCTGCTATCAGGACTCAGTAGCTAAGCGGGAAACGTGATAGCGTTTGAAGCAAACGGTACTGGGTTTGAGTGTCAGATTGAACATCAACTAGGATGCAGGTACATCCAGATGACGAGTCTCATATAGGACGAAACACGCATCCTGAATTCCACTGCTAGCCATCATCTATCTTTGCTTAGAATGCTTGTGACTCAAAGCAATATCTAG